TTCTCTTCGGAGGTTTCATTCGCCATCTGCACGTCACTCCCAAACTTTTCCTTCCTGCGCTCGGGGAGTCAGGTTGACGCGTCCTGGATGCGGGGCTTGAGGCGCGGGGCTGGGCGCGCTCCCGCGGAGCCGGAGCCGCAGAGGCTTCGGGGTTGGACTCGGGCTTCTCAGGTACAAGTTGGGTGCCAGGCGCGGGGGTGGGGGCGGCGAGGAGCGGCGGCGCCCCTCCGCGTTCCGGCCCGGCAGCGCGGGCAGCGGCGGGGCTGGGCGTAGGGAGTCCGGGCCGGCGGAGGCTGCGCGCCCCCTCACTCCCCGCGGCGCTCCCGGCGCTGTGGCGGCGGCGGCGGCGGCGGCCCAGGCAGACAATGAACTTGCGAGCGCGCCGAGCCGAGGCAGGTTTGAGCTCCGCGTCCCTCGGCCCAGCCTCCCCGAGGCCCCCGCGGACACCAGCGGGAGCGGCCCCTCGCCACCGGTCCCGGCCACCTCCGGGCGCCCCACGCGCCGGGGACCCCGCGGGAAGGGCTGCCCGCCGGCGGCGCCGGGGCTCGCATGCTCCCTCCCTGGCTCGAGAGAATGCAGCGGGAGCTCGGGGACAGGGGACCAGGAGAAGGGGTGGTGGCGCTGCGGACAGCCGGAGGCCGGCGGGGGGCGCACGCCGCGGGGTACGCACGGGCGGGCTGCCCAGAAGAACGGCCCCAGGAGTCGGAATCGGGGCGCCCCCGCGCCGCCCCGCTCTGGAAGCTGCAGGCGGAGGACGGACGGACAGACACACCGGTGCTTTCACCGTGTGAGCGCGCCTTGGGGGTTTCGGGGGGGGGGCGGGAATTCCCCCAGCCAGATGCTTTGCTCCCCCGCGCACTTCGGGGAAGTTTCTAGGCGCAGCCCCGGGCAGGTAATCGGGCATGCATCTGTCTCTCTCTCTCTCTCTCTCCGACTCCGGCTGGGAGCCACCTCCCGACCTCCCGCTCCGGTCCCGCGGCCGCTTTGGGTGGAGGAGGCGGGGGGCGGGGGGGGGGGGCAGGCACCGACGCCTGTGGGACCCGGTTCCGGGAGAGGACACCGCGGGGGCGGGCGTGGGAGGAGACGGGGGCGAGGCCGGGCCCGGAGCGGCCTGAACTTTTGCTCCCCGCCCCCTCCTCCTTCCTCTCGGCCCTCCGCCCCCTGCTCCCTCCCGGCTGCCGGCCGTGGCTCGGGAGGCGGCGGGACTCGGGAGTTGCCGGCGCTCCTCGGCGGTGGCGTCCCCGGCTGGCTGGGCGCGGCGAGCGGAGCGCGGCAGGTCTGAACGGCGCGGCGACGGCGGGGAGCAGGGGCTGCGGGGCGGCGAAGCTGTGGGGAGCCGGGGAGGCAGCGGCCCCCGTACGGGGGCGACGCTGGCGATCGTGCTGGAGCGCGAGGGTGTCGGGGTGTGTGTGCGGGTGGAGAGGACGCGTGGCGCAGTTGGCCCTCTTGGAGCCGCCGGGGCTGGCGGGATGGAGGCGCCCGGGTGAAGGGAACCTCGCCTTTGGGGAATGAATGAAGAGCTGTGAAAGCGCCTTCCGACTCCTCCGGGCGAACGGATTGGCCGGCGTGCGCGCGCGTGTGTGCGTGTGTGTTTAGGATTCGGAGGCGCCTGGGTCCTGGGTGCGGCTGCTTGGCCGCCCCGTCGCGGCCCTGGTGCCCACGTTGCCTGCCCGCCCCGCGCCCTGGTTCGGCCCTAGCGGCTGGAGAGGCCGGCGGAGACACTGAAGGCTGGGGCTCGGTTGCCGGCTGCTGGCGGCTGGACGTCTGCGCCTCGCGTAGGGAGGTTCGAGAAGGAGGCGGCAAGCCTGGGGCTGAGGCTAGCCCCAGGGCGCCTGGGGGGGGGGGGGCATTTTCCCGTTCCCCGCCTACGCTGGGTGAGTTAATGGCACGGAGTTTGGGGAATGAAGTTGTATTCTCAGGAAGCCGCAGGACGCCCCGTGAAGGGATTTGGCACACCGTTCAGTGAAATTGAGCAGGGGGCTCTGGTTCTAGGCTCCTTCGTAGGGCCCCCAGCCCCTCTTTATCAGCCGCGGTTGCTGGGAGGGCAGCCGCCCAGCGACGGAGCAGAAAGCCACCTGGAGGGCATCTGCACCCCCTGCGGGGCCCAGGAGGAAACCGAGGTCTGGAGATTTGCCGGAAGTTCCTCTAGGACCTTCCCGCACGGCTCTCCCTCCGAGCTTCCCTGCCCACCCCTGGCAGAATCAGGAACCCTCCCTTACAGAACAGGGTACTTATTAATTTTACAAACTGCATGTTGAATCAGGATGTTTTAATTGGTACCTAAATGTGTACAAGTCATACATGATTTTGCTTAAAATAGCATGTGAATAAAAATATCTTTTAATTAGGTAGTTTTTATCAGATAAGTTTTTCTCTACAGTACTCCTGGAAGATTGGCAGGAAACTGTTCTTCTTGCTTCTTCCTGGATGGGGAGCGTGAGCCAGCAAGGTGGGGCCGCTTGCCATGGTCTCCCTCTCAGTGTACAATTCGATCCAGAAGTGGAGCCGCGGGTCTAGACATCCCTTCAAGGTCTAGCTCCCCAGGGGAACCGTCTCTAGGGCTCTGGGAAGGAAATTCAACAATGTCTGTCTTTTCTCTTGGGATCATTGCATGACTGCAGTGAGCTAGCTTGTGGCTGAGGCAAGCAGCATTAATTCACCCAGGATATGGGGGGTGGGGGGAGGGTGTGGGAGGGGGTCAGGTCTGTCCAGAGTGGGTTACACCTAGGCCTTGCTTTTCTTTGCTGACTAGAGCTTGTGACGCCTGAACTGCGGCCTTGGCCGCGGACCCCAGCACTGTCACCGTGGCGTCTCTGTGGACTGCCTTCTGTACCTTTCTCTCCTCTGTCGCTGCTGGCCCTGGCCAGGAGAGGAGAGGCATTTGGTTTTCCAATGCCAGAAAGAGAGAAGATTAATCTCTGCATCTGGAAGGGGCAACATTTGCAGGGGAGGTTGGGAAGTGGATTGTGCTTATCTGGCGTTTGGAGAAGAGCATGAAAGAAAGTCCAGATAAACCAGTTGGGCCACGGGAACCTCAGGCCCTTTGCACCTGCACTGTCAGAAGCTTTAGATTAGTACTGGGTTGTGATTAGACTGTGGTTGTCCAAGGCCATCTAAGGCCCAGTCGGAAATCGCCCTTGCAAGCCTAGGGAGAGAGAGAGGGGAGGGAGATGCTGGAGCTACCCTGACTAGGTGAACCCATGCCCCACCTATAAGGGGCAACTTTGACTCAGCCTCAGCCAGTTGGAGAAAAACAGACTTGCAGGCAGGTCTTGTTAATTTTCAAGAGAATTCTCAAGCGTGGATATTCAAGTGTGGGCTCAAATTCTAGAGGTGGAGTAAAAGGTTGGGGTGGGTGCAGCGCCAGGAGGCTTGAGGCTTGACATCTGGCCCTGTGTCTGTTTAATGGGAGGAGTGTCCCACGGTCAGGGAGATGGGGCACATGATAGGACATGTGGATCACACCCCCAGGGGCTCAGGGACTAAGAATTGGTGGGTGCCCACGTGCCTGTGGCCACGTACCAGGCTCCTTCACATGCTCGTGGGTCGTGCGCTCATTGGGTAGCTACTTGATGAATTCCCATCGCGTGGAAAGAGACTCTGTGCTCAAACTTTTCATATAATTTCATTGACCAAATAGATCCCATGGTGGAGCATCTGGGGATGGTACAGTGGTAAGACAGGCCTAGTCCCAGCCCTCGAAGGAGGGGAGCAGAGAGAAATGCCTGTACCAGCTTTTCAAATGAACCTCGAGCTCGGAAGGACAGTATGGCAAGAATAGTGCTGGAGGGGTTGGGTTGTTGGGGAGGAGTCTCCTTTTATAGATGTGGACATTGAGGCTCAGAGCAGTTGGCTGACTTGCCCAAGGTCACACAGCTGGAAAGTGGAAAGTCGGTTCAGGTCGCACACTCCCGGTGGTGGGCAGCTCTCCCCTTTCCTGTCCACTTGTTTGGACCCCAGCCCCTTGCCGGGACCTTCATAGGTCCAGGATTGCAAAGATGCCATTTGCAACCATGTGTCAGAGATAGGAATTTTCTTAAATTCTAAAAGCAGAAACTATGTTTAAAAGTAGTAGTTGGCGCGGGAGTGTCATTTACGTGAGCAGCCAACCGGCGGGCACCTCTTTAGCAGCGTGTCATTTAGAAGTGATGCTTTCAGTCATTGTTGAGAATAATGCAACTTGTCTTCCCTTCCGCTCTGTGTGCTGGGAGGCTCGGAGTGATACTCACTTACTTCCATGGGTGATTTTGTTCCTGTCCTGCGAATCGGGAGATTGTGTTACTTAGCTGACCAGGTATTTGAGAGACGGAATGTTTTGACACACACAATGTATTTCTTTATTGTTCTCAAGTGCTAAGGTCTGATTTCCTTCCTGAGACGCCCGGGGAGAAGATGACCTGTGTTTTCACAGCACGAAACAAAGCATAAAGGGGGCAGTTACCTAGTTAGTGTATCCCATCCAGAGAGCTGGGAAGAAGAGTAAAGGTTTTGTGTTGATTTGGCCCAATGCGGATTTTTTTTTTTTTTTTAACCTATGGGGATTGGGGAGGGAGACATTTGGTCACGACAGCGGTCATTTGTTGGGTCCCTACTGGTTCCCACCTGGCCCTGTGCCAGGCAGGTCAGGCAGGTATCCCCCTTTGTCTCAGTTAGAGGGCGGGGAGGCTGTTTGAGATCACACAGACCAAGTTTTCAGCCGTCCAGATGTACAGGAGGGAGGATGAAGAAAGGACAGCGGAGGCAGGAGAGAAAGGAGAGGGGGTGGGGAAGAAAACTGTGTCTTCCCCAGAAGGGAAAGGCGGGTGTGAATCAGCAAGTGGTTAAGTTAGGGGGAGGTGGCCACGGACAGCAGGTTCTCGGTCTTGGCCGGTTTCAAAGGGGATGCGCGGAACCTCGAACGTCGTCCCTTCCATCCGTGGCCGCGATGCGCAGCACACCCCCCAGGATTGGGCCATGTGCCAGGTGCGTGGGGCTGAGAGGCAGCACGCAGCACCCAGAGAGCGTGGCAGGACCCGGTTAGCGGCTCTGCGCTCGGAGTGGTCCGGGGGGGACTCCATGCCCTGGCCTGACGCCTGCTATCCTGTATGTGCGTTGACACCTGCCAGGTGCTTGGAGCAGTGCCTGGCACCCAGTAGGCACTCAAGAAACATTGGCTCTTGGGGTATTCTTGAGCTCTAGAGCTCATAACCAGGGACAGAGGATGTGTCTGGACTCCCTGAAATTGCATGGACAGCTTTGGATGAAGATGGGAGATGGGTCTGTTTCTGGGGGGCGGGGCATGATCTCTAGCAAATTCGACCTCAGAGGGCTTCTCTGACACCTCATAAGGCCAGGAGCCCCAGGACACCTAGATCCTATGTGGGTTTTCTTCGACGGGTTGCTTCACCTCCCGGGGCTGTTTCTTCATGTGTGCGAGGAGAGATAAACAGCCGCTTTCTGACCCTTCCACCTCACTCTGTGGGCAGGCTTTGGATCAGTTCAGCTGTGTTTCCACTTGTCACAATTAAGCAGGGGGCAGATCGGGCAGGTCTCACCGGAAACGTGCTGGGGTAGCTTGCTTTTGAATGTTACATCTTGAACCTCACTCTAAGCTTAAAGGAGTCCTGAGCAGGCTTGCAGGGGCCCCCTTGCTGGGGCAGGCTCTCTCTCCTTGACACCTATATTACATTTCTAGAACCTGTCCTGGTCCAGGCCTTTCGGATCTCAGAAGAAAGTGAGGTTGGCAGATCCTCAGAAGCAGAGGGTGTCATTATAATGGAAACTTGGACGCTTTCCAGAATTGTGTTTGTGATGAAAATATTGAAGCAGGCAGCCTAGTCACCCAGGTGCCTGGAAAATACCCCAACATGGGCAAATAATTAGATGCAGACCGGGCACAGTTATTTTTTCCTGCAGTGTGCTGGAACCTGGTTGCTTCACATTTTCTCTTGAAATGGAATATGCTCCTACCGATCCATTTGCTCCCCGGGGGCAAAAATGTCAGTGTTGGTCTGGGTGCGGGAGGCAGGGCCCTGAGGGGTGGTGGTTTGGCCCCTCCCAGGGCAGCCCTGGGTCTCAGCGGAAGTTCTGTCCTGTCTGCCATGCCCTTGTAGGGACCTGTCCCAGGGGCCTGGGCCTGTGGCACTTTTGCTACGAGCTTGGAAGGTTCCAAGCATTCCAGACTCTGGCAGGTCTGGGAAGGTGGATTATTGTGTCCTTCCCTTGCCAAAAGGGGCCGGGTAGCTCTCTCTGCCCCTCGTGCCACGTTCAGCCGGCACCTTCATATTTGCAGTGAGCCAGGAGTTTGGGGCCTCCAGGCAGACGTGCTTTTAGCCTGGGTGTTGAATCCCTTGGAGACCTTTGGAGGGACAGCACAGGTGGTGGGGGAGCCGTGGCACCAGACTGACCAGGGCTGGAGTCCCTCCTCTGTTTCTTTGTTCCATTACCGTGCCCCGGGCAAGTGGCTTAACCGCCTTGTGCCTCAGTTTGCCCCTCGGTAAACGGGGGTTAATAATTTCTACCTCGTATTGTGTTTTGAGTATTAGAAGTCGTACAACTTCGGGCTCAAGGGGTCTCCCCAAGTTGAGCTCCGCTTCCTGGCATAAAAGAATCCCCAAGTTGGTGGCACGTTGCAGGAGTTCTGAAACCTCTGGAGAGAGAAAGGGGAGGAGGAAGATGGGTGGAGTTAAAGATGTGGGGCGTTTGTCTCTGACTGAAGCAGACGTCGGGGAAGGTGGCTGGACTGGCGGGCAAGGGGGCGTCATAGTCCTGAACTGGAGAGCACTGGGCAGTCGGGCCAACGGCGCCCCGCGCCCCCCGGTCACAGGCAGAGTGGGAAGGGTGCCGCTTTCCTCCTCCACGGGCAGCTAGCAGGGTGGAAGGCCTCCTCTGGGTGTGAAAAGGCGCGACTGGGCTCCTCATGTCCAGGTCCTCCTTCCACACCTTCTGGGACAGTTTGGACACCGCCAGGTGTAGACACACAGGCAGAGTGCACTCCACGTGGAAGGAAAGATCAGGAGTGGGCAGGAAGAGCCCCTTGCTGCCGGTGAATAGTAAGTGCTGAGCCCAGGGCCTGGCCCTTGATGGGGGTTGACACATGGGGCCCGTGAGGACAGGGGGGGCATTGAGGTTAGGCAGCAAGGCCTGTCAGCTCTGTGTTGTTTTCTGCAGCACGTGGGAGTGATGGCAACAGTGAGGTAGTGGTTAGCGGTGGACTCCAAGGCTACCTCCTTACTGGAAGGCAGTTCACATGGAGTGGAGGGGCAGGCTGACCAAGAGCCTGGCCAGGAGACCCTTGTCTGCCTCCCCTCGGCCCCCCGCCCCCCGGGACCCCACGGCCCCCATCACCTTCAGGAAACCTTTGCCAGTAACGCATCCCATGTCCACCTCGTCTCCCCTGTGTGACTTTCGTCCCCCATCCAAACGTAACTTCCTCCTCTGAGCTTCCGCCTTCTGCTCGGCTGAGCTCAGCCTTGAACCCATCCCACTAGTTTCCTGGGTGCGGTCTGGCTGCCCTAGCCCGGGGAGCCTCTCAAGGTTGAGGAGGGCGTCTGGGAGGCCTGCTCCTAGCTAGGTCCACACAGAGTTGGGAGAGACTGCCATTTATTGAACTCATGCATCAGTTAAAAGTGATTCTTCCAAAAGCCCGTTTTTCCTGGACTGTTAGGAACTTTACGTGGGCCCCTGGGTGTGCACCCAGAAGACATAAAAGAATCCCCCCAATTTGTTAGCCCGGTACAGGAGTTAACGCTTGCCACTAAATTTTTGAAGGAGTCAAGAGCCTAACGTAATAAACTTGGATTTCCTGGCATTAGGTTTTTGGGCCATTAAACAGGTTTTTTTGTGTGTGTCTTGAGAGTCTTGGGGAGAAATGTTATGGAAATTTGGTTGGTGTTTCAGAAATATAAACAGGAGCCATCTACTCAGGGAAGAAATGTGGGGGCTGTTAGTGTTTCTTATAGCTGGTATAAATAGCCTGTCTTTAAGTTCCATGCGCCTTTGTTTGGAATGTAAATATTTGCATTAAAAATATAAAGTATATCCTGGCGTGTATTTATTGGGACCATAATTTCCAAGCCCCGAATCAGACTATTGGTCTACAGAGGATTAATTCCTCTGATTTGCGAACCTGTTTATATAAAGAGTTTTCCAAATGTATACACAGAGAACCATATCTGCTTGTGCACGTAAGGGATCTCCAGGATTATAAGAGAGCAGGGCTGCCCTGGGGAATCTGGACCCAGTGCTTCTGCTTCCCAACTCCCATTTCTGATCACGCGGTCTGTTCCATTGCAGCCACCCTGAGGATGGCCAAGTGTTGGCCCAGGTCCCATGAGATCGTCTGGCGTCTCTGTCCTCAGGTTCCTGGACATCCAGGCGGGGGGTTGGCTGCAGCTGGCTCATCTGTGGGTCCCGTAACCAGACGCTGGGTTTCAGAACCACAGTTGCTTTAGGACAATGTGGAGAAGAATGGGCGCTTGGTGTCCGTGTTGTGGTCTGGTGGAGGGAACCAGAAGTTCTCATTTCTGGTTCATGGTTAAACTCTGAGGGCCTCTGTTGGATGTCATCCTCGACTAGATTCTTGGGGACAGTTTGGCTTTCTCATTTTACTGTGAAGAACAGCCCTGCTTTGTCAGATACTTCTGGAGGCGGAATATTACCACGTAGCTGGTCTCTCTGCTCTTCTCCCGAGTGAGAGGGTGAGGGCTGCCGTTGGGCTGGGCCAGGACCTCTGATCCCTGTGTGTGTGTGTGTGTGTGTGTGTGTGTGTGTGTGTGTGTGTGTGTGAGCGAGCGTGGGGGGAGTTGTTCTCAAAACCCTCTGTGGCAGCCCTGGATGGAAACCCCATCTCCCAGAGTCTCAACAAAGGGAGAAGTGGAGATTAGCTGGCCTGTTGGAGACAGTCAACCTGGGTGGTGGGCCAGCCCCAAATCTAGGTGCGGCCCCCACCTGGCAACCTCTCCATCATCCCGGGGTGGAGGACAGAGGAGAAGGGGGCATGGGCATTCCTGGCCCCTGGTTGCCTGGTACCAGGGCCCATTTGTGCCTGCCTGTCAGACGTCCAGGGTCTTTCCCTTGGGTGGGGCCCCCCTCCTCGGACGCTGCACCTGTTACCTGAGCCCCGGACTTGGCCTGCCTGTCAGACGTCCAGGGTCTTTCCCTTGGGTGGGGCCCCCCCTCCTCGGACGCTGCACCTGTTACCTGAGCCCCGGACTTGGCTGAGGTAGCAGGGATTCTCTGTCTTGCCTTCCCCATCTCCACCTTGCAAAGGGCCTAGTGTCCTGACTATAGGAATGTCAGGCATCCCTGGGGTTGGGAACTTTTCCTTTCTTGGGCTCCCTGGATGCTGAGCCCCACAGTGGGAGAGGAAGTGAGGGAGGGAGGTAGTCTGAGGGGGAGAGGCATGCAGAGCCGGGGTTCAGGCTCCCACACTGCCCCAATGGGCTATCCCGTTGGTTCTTACTTTGACCCATCCGTGAACATTCCTTATTGTCCAGGCTTAGAAAGGGTGAGCCCTTAGGAAGGACCACTTCCTGTGTGTCTGGGTGTTCTTGAACTGTGGGAAACTCACAGTTGCCTTTTCTGTGGTCATCTTGAACCTGACCCACAGTGATGTGACTCTCCCTGCTTCTCTGTCGCAGCTCTTAATGAAGATCGTACGGTCGGTCCCTGGATGGCCCTGCGCGGCCCCATAGTGGGCCAGGAATCCAAGTGCACTGTTCCAAAAGTCAGAGGAAATAGTTGCTTTTAGGACATGCTGAACTTGCCTAAGCAAGTTATCAGTCAGAATAAATTAGAGGAGGAAGAGATGCTCCAATTAATGAGAGTGGGAGCAGCCTGACATTTGTGTCATCCTAACTTTAAAAAGCTATTTGTACCCACTCCAGCAGTCTCTGTGAGAAATGAGATGCGGAGGGATGTACGGAGAAGAGTGGGTACTCAATGTGACCTCCTCAGAAGCACCTTCCAGGCAAAAAAGCAAAAAAACAAAAACAAAAAAACCCCCACCTGCCCACAGGTCTCCTGTGGCAAATCCACAGATCCTTTACATTGGACAAAATTTGGCTCGGAGAATAAAAATGATGTATTAAAAGCTAGGTGAAATCTCGGTTGCCATTTGGGTGGTAGAAAGGAAATTTGCTTTCGGCTGTTAAAACTGAAATAAATTGGTAGAAAAAAATGCAGGCCTGCGCACATTTGAGTCAGCAGTGTTTTTGGTTTATGGAAGGAGATTTGCTCACTGAAAATCAGCTCTGTACCTTTTGGACCAGCCGTGAGGCTGCAGAACTCTTTAGGGAAGGGGTGTGTGTGCGTGTGTGTGTGTGTGTGTGTTTATCTTTCAAAGTTCTCATCTGATTTATTTTTAAGAATTATGCAACAGACTCTTTTTTGGTCCATTCAATCTAATCTTTTTTTAAACAGCTTTATTGAGATATAGTTCACACACCACACGTTTAAATTAAATCCACCCATTTAAAGTATATAATTCAATAGTTTTGAGTATATTTACAGATATGTGCAAAAAGCAGCACCACA